AAAAAAGTACAATTAAGTGAAACCTCAACTATATGAGGGAACTACGCAGACTTATTTATGGCAAGGGAAAAGGAAGACGTTAGCAGAACGATACTGCCACCTCGTGGTATTTTATTGGTATTGACTTTATTTCGATTGCTCCAGCTCACACAGCACCCTAATGAAGACAAACACTCGAGAAAATGGGTGAATGTATAAATGAGGGGAAAAAAGGTAATGTTTACGTTGTACCTGAGAGATGACCAACTTAAAAGAAGACTTGAACTCCTGAATGTCAGCTGTTAAGCGATTCACCAGTTGTCCTGTTTTGTTAGCATCAAAGAACGCCACATCTTGCCTGAGAGACAAAAAGTATCTCAACGATGGGACAGGTGGTTTAAGTAAAAGGACACTTAGGAATAAACACCTCAGTAGCGACGCGAAAAGGGTTTTCCTCATGTCGGCCGCCACTCTTTCTCCGACCCTTGAGAGCAGGATGATGTAGCCGCTTGTTAACAAGCCCTGTCGTACATTTCCAGTTCTTAAAGCAATTACAGCAGTGTCATATATGGATCATTTGTTCAAAATGTTTACGTACTTGGATGCCGTACAGTCCAAGCAATTTAAAAGCGGGTCCTCTTATTTCACGGATATAATTCCCAGTGTGTTCTCTAAGGTAGCGTGCCACAACATTCACCAGCTCCCCCAGCATCAGAGGGATTTGAATGTTTAAAATGGCTGCACCAAAAGCCAGCTGAAAAGAAAACAATACAGTAAATTGATTATAACGCCATAAATGTTACGTTCGATTTACGTGCACTGGCTTACCACGACAGCACATGTGAGTGCAAACAGCTGAGGCTTCACAAACTCCCACAGAATGTGCCATTTGAACTCTGGATTTTTGTTCACAGTCTCTACTGGGATGTTGTTGTTCACATCTGCTTTGCAGTACGCGGTGTGGCAAAACAGTCGCCCGGACACCGTAAGCACAGCTGGTGTGAAGATGAACCTCAGTATCATACCAGAGCGTTTGGATGCTTGCGTGGCTGACTGTCGCAGAGCTCTATGAGCCACGCTCCACAAGCGACTGACGACATTCCCATGTTGACGTGAGACGCACAAAACGTTGGATCCCGAAGATGAATGCAATCTGTATACAAAATGAAATGTTAGGGCCCCCAAAATAGCCATACATTGTCTATAGCAATTGTCCCATTAAACTGAGAAGCTGATTAGCAGCTACTAATGAAATAATAATTATTTATACCGTAGATCACCACGTATATACAAAACTACAACATAATAAAATAATTTTTACAAGTACAATTAAGTGAAACCTCAACCATATACTAATTCTTCAGTGATTATTATTCTATTAGTAGTTCATAAACTGTAATTAACTGAACAATTTCTGGTAGTTTCTTTATTATTTTGTATTGTTAATATTGGCTTACTTTTACACACTGGCCTTAATTGATAATTACTTCACTTGAAATTGACGAAAAGCAAAATGAGACAACTGAACATGTTTGACTGGATGGCTATAATTTACTTCTATTTTCAATTAGTTAATTACGATATATCAAATTTGCACCACACATAAACAAATTAACGAACAAAAGCTGATTACACTGGAAGTTTAAATGAACTAAAGAAGCAACGTGCATACAAGCCTATTATCGACTAAGCAAAACTGTTTGAAGGAGCAACAAGCATTAAGCTGTCATTCGACCATACTAGGGGGTCACATTACCCTACCGTGAATATTTCCATAAACCAGCCGTTTTATTACACTGCAGATGTAGCGACAGTGACTGCACTGGTGCGGAAAAGCTTACTCTCCACCAATACCACATGTTAACGCCTATCTTTATAAAAACGAACAAAAATTAGTTCATTATCTTGAGGCTACAAGCGCGCCGCCATATTGAATTCACCCAGAATGCACTTCTCACGATAGGCGGAGAGGTTATTTTTAACCTTTTTAGTATCGGGCAATTCCTTACACACACAATTATATTACGTTTCTAAATTAAATTATGTGTCTTTTAATTTATTTTGGATTTCCGAAACAACATGACAATGAAATCGCACAACCATTCGTGAAAACTACAACAGTATAACGGAAGTTGTCACGTCCGAAACCTGTAGTGACGTTTGTTTGTGCAAGACAAAAACAGTGTGAACACACGTAATGTATGTTGTATTTTTGGAAGAGAACTGGCTGAACTTGAAGATTGGTCGATTCAACCAACGCGTTCGGGTTGAAAGAACGCGAGTCCCCGTTGTGTATTCGCTGAACGGAGAGAAAAAGGAGTTCGACACCAGCGGATGGACGGAGCGAGTCGGGAACAAAACAAACAGTGCACTCTGCATGACCACGCTCGACTGGCTGAATCATTCCCACACTAGCCGACTACTTCACACTCGCCGCGGGGCCATTTGATTGTGTACGGTTGGCGTATCACAACAATAACATTAACGGAATATTCCTCGGGGAGATTTTGAGCGTTACGTCACAAGCTATCGTAAGTTGCCACGCTAAAGTAGCTTGTAGCTAGGCTGACTTGGAGTTTTCGAGTCGGTAGCTGAAGAATGTAGCCACGCTTTTGAAGGTCTTCGTTTTGCACGGTGACACATAGTAGGTCTTTCTTCAGTGAGTTGAACGACTGAGTGGAGAATGTGAAGCACAACCATGGCCAACTTGGAAGCCTACCGGGAGTATCAGAGGATTGAGGACCTGGAGGAGGACTCTCCACCCGGGGAGGAGGACTTGCTGCTCCATGTGCCTGAAGGCCTGAAAGGTAAACAAACTAAATAAAGTGGCGTACCAGTTTTAAAAATCTCGCAGCGATGCCCTTTCCTTATCCTCTCATCATTTTCCCGACATTTGTGTTGCAGATTCATGGCACCACATCAAGAACTTGGATAACTTCTTCACTCGAATATCCTGGTCTGTTTTTCTGTGACGTGTGCTATTGCATTGAGCCTTATGGACGCAGATTTACTAGTTAAGTCAGTGGAACCCCAAAGTGCAACAGAATCATTCTGTGATGCCGGATGGCTTAAGATCTTCTAAAAATAAAAAAAATCAATAAAGGAGACCTAACTGTCACCTTGATAGATAGATCAAGTATCAAGTACAACTTTATTGTCAATTGTGCTGTACAGCACGGATGAAATTTCCTCCCTCTTAAACAG